GCGTTGAGTTGAACGTAAATGTTGAACGCAAAGTTGAACAATGCAAACAGTGCTTTATAATAATACTAGTTTATTTATGTATATAAGAATGGGTGCAGCTTTGTCGGAACTCTATAGACGTTGAGGCCACAGATATATTTTAAAGAGGATGGCCACATATTTAAAAAATTGAATGCGTTTAAATTATACACAAGTTATTTAAAAATTTTAAAAGATTGTCGTTCCCGCGAAGAGAAGTTTACTGCTATATTTTGAAGAGGGTTGCCACTTGATTGAAAAGTCGAATTAAATTAAATAATATGCAAAATATATGAAATATTAAAATATAGTTGTCAAACATAGCTATGTTTTAAAGAGTGTTGCCACCTGTTGAATTCAATTAAATTGTATACAAGTTATATCAAATTAAAAAAGCGGAAGTAAAAGTATTCGTCTTGGTGAGGAGAAAGTTTTTAGCTCTATTTTGGAGAGGGTTGCTACCTATTTGAAAATTCGAATCTAATTACATTGTACACAAGTTATATGAAATATTAAAATATGACTGTGAAATGCAAGAATGTTACAAAACATTGAACATTTAGAATACGTATAGAGTTGCCACCTGTTAATAAGGTTAAATTAAAATTATTTAAAAAATGAATTATTCCAATATGAGTATCAAATGAAATAATTTTGAAAAGGCTTAATTTAAAACTGCATCAAGGAGGGTTACCACCTATTAAAAAGGCAAAGTTAACTTGCATTAAGGAAGCAAGGTAGTTGAAATACATAGATACATATGTATCACAATAGAGGTATCAGCCGAAAGAGGTTTATAAAGGTTTTGATTTAGACAAAGGGGCGTGAATTTTTTAATCAGCTACACCTTTGGAACCATAAGTCAAATGACTTTGAAATTTGGTGTGAAGAAATATATACATACATACATAGCTATGGTATATGAGTTACTGAGGCGTAAAATTTTTAAACAGCTATTTGTTCACATCGCGCACTCTGCTAGATATAATAGAAACTTTTCTTTGGCACATTCGTTATTGCGTTCGAATTCACTCCATGCGATGCGCGGCGGTGATGGTTGAGAAAGGGAAGTGCCTCCCCTACGTTTTAAAGACTAGAGGGATTTCGCGAGAAGCAGGAACGCCATGTTGAAATTAACAAAAAAAAAATAAAATCGCTTAAGTATTTATAGTGCCAATAAATAAGAAACCCATTAGTCTTGTTATCATATTTTTGACGTCAGACTTAGGAAAGAAGAAAATCTTTATCTTGGCAAATCACACGCCGAAAACTTGATGTGGAATTTCACCTATTGATAAGCTATCAACAAGTATGTACATATTGACTAATAAATACATAAAATGCGAATTCTTCTAACATTGTACCCGGAAAAAAAGTATTCCAATTAGCGCCCAATCAACCAAAGCAAATAAAAACACAGCTCATGAAAGCCTTTATCTAGAATAACTACTCATGTATGGATGTATGTATGTATATTTGTAAATGTAAATAATGTATAAGGAAATATGTATGTATGTATGCGTGTTTTATGTCTTATATGTATGAAAAACGTATCGATTACCACAATCTTCATTTCTCACTTAGAAAAAAGTACAGAGTTCTATTTAAGCCATAAATTTGCCACATTTAAATTCGTAAATACAATTCAAGAGAGAAAGAAAACCAGCATGTCAGCCAAAAATGGCGCCACTTGCAGCCAAATATTTACATACACGTACATACTACATATATGTACATACGTGCAGTTAATCACAACATTGCCGCATTGCTTCAAAATTTGACNTATGTACATACATACGTGCAGTTAATCACAACATTGCCGCATTGCTTCAAAATTTGACTCAATACGGGGTTATCACGAATCGTCCTCCTCAACATTATCACCCTCATATGTGCGCTTTAGTAATTGATATTCACGTATGCGTGCCACGCCATATTCCTGTAGGGGAGAAATTAAAAAAAAAAAAAAA